AGTTTCAGAATTTCACAAAAAAAAAAGATTTGGGTTGGGCAGAGCAAATTGGTCATCATTCGGATCCAAAAAATTGAGTCAAAAACAGCAACATCTGAGCTACCTATGGCAAGATAGGCTATCGAGTCTGAATGCATTTAAACCGACTTCTGGCCTATCAGAGCAGTCATGCGATATAAGAAAGTTGTGATCTTATTGTGTGGAATCCCAAGCATATTCAGGGAGTGGGACTATTGTAGATTTGTTTCTGTTTAGACTTCAGGTCAGGGTTGTTTATAGGCATAGCAAGCTAGGCGGTCACCTAGGTTGACCACCAAAAGGAGCTGGGCACCAAAGAGGAGGAAGAAATATTTTTTTTGATACATTTTAGACACCGCTTCTACTTCGAAAAGTCTGTCCTACTCATGCTTTTGCATCCATTACATTGTTAAATAAAGGTCTAAATAAGACGCAGCCATCTGTTGAAATGAATATGACAGTGAGTGTTCGCAAGCGATGGATCATAAACATGCACCTCAGAGACTCACAGTTGTTGAGGAGTCAAAGGCTCCTTCACAGTCAGTAACCTAGATATGGGATATAGAGAACAAGGCTTCTTTTGTTTCATATCATAATATCTGATATGATTATAACCATATACGATAAGACTTGTAACAAGGACACTAGTGTGCATGTAAAAGTAATTACAGACAGACGGGACACACTGTTGAATATAATTCAATAATTAAAGATTTAAACGCAAATGATTATTAGTGCATTAATAAAAGTAAGGAAATATATTCAGAAGTGTTTTTGTAAGACATCTTGCAAAAGGGGGGCCCAGCCATAAACTAATGCTATTTTGGGGGCCTTGGACTGACCCACTAGCCCAGACTGTTTTTATGTTGTGATACAGAAGTTGACTGAAGCTGAATCTGACAAGTGTGGCCAGAAACTTCCCTGAATGAGGTTAAAAGCAATAGTTTAGCCTCTGCCTTTTATAGTATCCCACAATGAAAGGAAAAAGTAATGTCAATGGCAACAATGTCACAATGCAATGCTCTGCATCTTCCAAAGTAAATTTTTTCATTTCAATTCAGTTTTATTTGTATAGCGCCAATTTATAACAAAAATTATCTCAGGACACTTTTTAAATAGAGCAGGTCTAGATTGTACTCCTTATAACATTATTTACAGAATATGTGTCTCTTATAGCTGTGGTTCTCAAACTGGGACCCAGAAAAAACTATTTATTTCACTACTAGGGAGAATTTTATTGTTATTGTATTATTTCATTAACTACAAGTTAGCCCAATGAGAGAATGTGTATATATGTTAATAGGTCTCACATTTCAATTCAATTCATTTTAATTTATTGTCCTCCAAGGGTCTGTTTATCAGACAACAACAGATAACAACAGGGAGGTTCCTGAGACTACTAATTATCAAATACAGGTCTGTGGCCTGATGTGTATCAATAATAAAATAAAAGGTTGAGAACCACTGTGTTACAATGAGTAGTGAATGAATGATTCTGGGAGTTTTTTCAAACAGTCTGAATGTGCTGACGAAACAACCCTGTGTATATGTGCACGTCAATGAGGTGTCTGCTGTGAAGAAGCCTCTTTTAAATATTAAATAAGCAGACTGTTGGAAATTAGCATAATAACTGGATTTTATTAGCAGATACTGACGCAACATCTGTGACAAAAGCAGAGAAATTATACAAAAAAATATCTAGGGGATGGAGAAATGTTCATTCCACTTTGTGGGTTACACATGCAGTTTCCAAAATAGCATAAATAATCATTGTTACCACCTGATTATGTTTATAAACAATAATCATATAAATAATATATTTATAATAATATAAATAATAAATAAATATAAATGTATTTTGGAGGACCAATAATTGCTGCATGGATTGTGTTCACATGCAACATTTTTCCTGTCCAAGGAGTGCTTTGTGTTTATGTGTGATATTTAATCACAACCACATTCTTCTAACTCCAAAATTAGTTTATAAATGTATTTTGGTTTGTTTCTTTATCATCTCCTTTACTAGCCTGCACCTTATAAGTGGCAGACAACTGGGTAATGTAGGCATTTGGGTTGTGATTTAAAGTCTTTTACCTTAGTTACACATACCTGATAAGAGATTTGCCTGAATTAAATGTACAATATGAAGCGTGGGATTATGGGAGTTGTGGTCATTGCAGTTAGCTTCTCCCAGGAGGTTTCTACCGGAAGCCCAATTATCCACAGAGGTCCCCTCCTCTCCCAATTCAATTCAATTCAATTCAATTTTATTTGTATAGCGCCAATTCATAACAGAAGTTATCTCAGGACACTTTTCAAATAGAGCAGGTCTAGACCGAACTCTTTAACATTAATTACAGAGACCCAACAGTACCAACATGAGCAAGACCTTGGCGACAAGGGCAAGGAAAAACTGCCTGTTAAAAGGCAGAAACCTAGGACAGATCCTCCGGCTCTAGGTGGGTGGCTGCTGTCTCGACCAGTTGGGGTGAGAGAGAGAGAGAGAGAGAGAGAGAGAGAGAGAGAGAGAGAGAGAGAGAGAGAGAGAGACAGATAGACAGGTGCACAGTATCAACAGTATTAGTAATGGCAGTCTAGCAGGACCATGGCAGGAGGCTCCACCAGGATCGATAAGAACCTGCGAGATGAGAAAGCACAAGAACTCCGGGGAAGAAGTGAAGTTAATAACATGCATTAATGGAACATGAATGAGTGCAGAAAGAGAGAGAGGAAGAGAGGAGCTCAGTGCACCATGGGAAATCCCCCGATAGTCTAGGCCTATAGCAGCATAACTAAGGGATGGTTCAAGAGTCACCTGATCCAGCCCTAACTAACTTAATCTCCCACTGATTAAAACCGCTAAAAACACTGAATAAAGCAGTTCCCCCTTAAAAATCACTGCTTCTCCCACGCTGTTGGACAGACAAAGGACGTCCGAGAGGGGCTGCGAGCCGAGCTGCTGCTAACGTTAGCTCAGCTTGTTTCTCTGATAACTTAACATCCAGACGTCCGATGACTAAAAACCACCACGATCTAAACAGTGGATGGTAAAAATGTGGCTTCAAACTGGATAAAAAAGTGAGTTTGTGACGCCTTCTTGCATATTATATCTTTAACACCTGTGAGATTACCAGGATCAGAGTAAATAATACTTCAAAGATCTATTTATACACTATAGTCAGAACTGTAAACAGTCTACTATATACATTTATACAGAGTGTACAATGGAGCAACATATGCCAGTCCACAGTGTTGGGGAAGCTTCTTTGAAAGCAATTTCACTTTCAATTTTGCAAGGTCACACTGCAGGACTGAACTATAGCAAAGTTACTCCAGGGAGAAATCTAGTTTGGTTTATTAAAGCTACTTAGAAATTGTAAAAAAAAATCTAAAAAAGATCAAGTTGACAATGTATATGTGATACAAATGTAGAACAAAGTATAGTACAAAAAAGACACATGCCAGAAAAAAGGCACTCAATTCAGTTTATTGCAAAACACATCCACTTGATTACAGGTATATTATATATTATATATTATATTTATATAAATAATAAAAAATAAAATAATATAATATAAAACAGCCCACTATCCACAGGAAGGTGCAAGCATAGTTTACAAGTAAAAATGTGTCAGTGTCATGTACAGCCACAATTATTCTTCCTCAGGCTGAGATTCGGGAGGTTTACTCATGATGACACTGTGGGCAATGAGCAAGGCCCGCCCTTTTCACATATGAACCACACAAAGGTCGAGTGTGTGGTTGCGGCTGCCTGAATGCATTGCCTGGGCATGTCTTCACAGCGGTACAAAGGGGGTTGAATTACGGAAGAGAAGCAATGGTAAGATTAAAAAAATCATGACTTTCCTTTTATTAGTTAAAGCTGCAGTAGGTAACTTTTATAAAAATAACTTTTTGTCATATTATATTTTCACTATATCCTGACAGTAGTACATGAGACAGATCATCTGTGAAAAAATCAGGTTCCTCTGGCTGCTCCTAGTGCTCCTAATGGTATTAGCAAGAATCCACCGGGCCTGAACGAAAACAGCCAATCAGAGCTGAGAAAGATAGTTGATTGCTGAGTCTCATTTCCAGGGCTTTGGGATGGTGGCCACTGGGTGCTGTGAGGCCTTCTTGATTTTAAGGTGTGCTAGAAAACTTAAAGAATATACCCAGCATGCCTATATCTCAGCATTTGGTTCATTTTGTGGTAAATTGTTGAATGAAAAATGGCCAAGCATCAGGGACAAAAAAAAAAACACTGAATTTGTCAAAAAAGAAGCCTGTTAAGTCTGTATGATTGTACAAAAGTATTTAGAAAAAACATAAAACAAACAGAAAAGTTCCCTAAACAGGAAATAATCTTCTCAAAATTCTTCCAAATCACTTGTTTTACACAAACTCCCTGCAGTTACAGAGTTCACTGTTTGGGTTCATTGTACAGTTTTGAATATAATATGAAATATCTATAGAATATGTCACTGAGTCAGTTTACTAAATGATAGGAAATGTGTCCCTTAAGAAAAAAGGTTGGGAACCAGTGATGCAGCTCAACTACCAGCAAGCAATTCGTAGATAGATAGATAGATAGATAGATAGATAGATAGATAGATAGATAGATAGATATTCCTTTATTTGTTCCACAATGGGGAAATTCCAATATTACAGCAGCAAAGTGGATAGAGAAAACACAGTATAAACAAACAGTAAGAGTAGGGAAATAATAAATAAAAACACTATGTACAAGAGAAAAAAACAGTAAGAATCCACAACAACAGATAACACAAATATAAGCAGCATAAATATTAAGCGTAATTGTATTGCATAAAATACATGCAGTTCACTATTCCCCAACACTGGCAGTATAAAGCCACACAATGAATATTACCCACGTGAAGAGCATATAAAGTCTGTATCTATAGTTTGTTTGATTCAATTGCACAATGATGACGTTTGTTTAAAAAAAAAAAGAATCCACAGGGTCAAAAAATTACAAAATGCCTGACAGACACTGCACAGCGAGGAGGGAGGAGAGGAGGGAGGAGAGGAGGGAGGGAAGAGAGGAGAGGGGGGGGGGGGAGGGGACAGAGGGTATGCACTACATCTGACGTCAGAATCTTGCTACAAAGATAAGCCGCGAGCCTTAATATGAAGTACAATGTTCGTCCATTTAGGAAGAGCGATCGAGCTCCGGCGGCCTCGCGTCGGTGCGCACACCGCTCAACACCTGGAGGGCGACGGAGCACAGCAGGCCGCTCTGCAGCACACACCTGATACACCTCCCTCGTCCTCTGCACGCAGTCTGGAAGCAGCCCACGGAGCAGAGCAGGAACTATGAGGGATCGACTCAGACCGACGACACCGCGTTGCGCGTAATGAAGGAATAATTCGTCTGCACGAGCGCAGGAAGAGAAAATGGGAATGGCGAGTGAGGATCTGCTCGTGACACTCCAGATTCTACCTGGTTTCTTTTCGAACTGTCTGTTCCTCGCCCTGTACGACTCCGTGGTGTTGGTGAAGCGCGTTGTGTCGCTGCTCAGCTGCTCCCGGTCCGCAGGCTCCGGAGAGTGGCGCCGCATGCTGACCTCAGCGGGGCTCCGCTCCATCTGGAACAGCTTCCTGCTGGACGCCTACAAGCAGGTACGCCATTTAACACGCACAGTGTCTTGAATTAAGCCATTCTTTGACATTGACATCAGTCCGCTAGATAAAAGTTTCAGCTCCACACGTCAAAAGTCCCCCTGTGTCCAACCCAGGACGCAGGGTTAGGACCGCATGTCTCACTTTGTGTATTATCTTTATTTTCCTCTTTTTTTCCCACATGCGTAGAAAAAGTAATATTTGGTGTTTTTAGTTAGTGAGAGAGAGAGTAAGAGAGAGAGAGAGAGAGAGAGAGGAGGGAGAGAGGGGGTGGGCGTCAAACCTTCCTTCTGGCCCCTCCTGCTCTCTATGATCACCTACACTGTGTTTTAACCCTCATCCTACCAACATATCTACAACAGGCTGTGTAAGTGTTCAACTATTTCTTCTCAGGAGAACATCAGTTATGTGATTAATGTCATGTGAAAAAAAAGTTACAGTTACTAGAGTGACTTCAAATTTGGACCCATGGCAAACTTGAGCTCAATAAATATTCCTGTCTATTAAAACTGCAGAGGTGGATTTAGGACCTCAATTCCAATGCTATTTTTGAAACTCAAGCTGGGAGGGACAATTGATTCAACATTCAACAGGGAGGGCTTTTACTTTGTGAAGTGAGTTAAAACAAAGTGCTCTGAATAAATTAATAAAATGTAATGTAATGATCTGTTATGACCACATGTTAGACTCAGTGATAGGCTTAAGATCAATGAAAACAGACATGAATTTGGAAAAATGTTTTAAGATTTGGAAATAAAACTATATATTGATTTCTAATGCCACCTTTTAGATAATTCAATTCAGCCTAATGTGGCACAACCCTGTTTTTGAGTACAAATATCTTCATTTGGGGGCTATTTCAAGCAAATATTGATATGTCATTGTTTGCAATTACATCAGCATATATGTTTGCCACCTGTGGCCTCTAGCAGTGTAATTGCAGATTGCAACTCCATTGCTTCACCCTCCCCTACCAAGCACGAAGGAGAAACTACGGTGGCTGCGAAATACCAAAAAAAAGCAAATGTCCCTATCTACAGTCAGTGTTTGTGTTGACCCTTCTGGGCTACTGTAGAAACATTTAACAGTATCTTATGGTTTAACATTGTGTACTCCATGGAAGCCGACTGTCGATAAAAACGGCTCATTCTAAGGTAACATAAACACAACAATTCCTATATTCAGGTGATTATACACTAATGAAAACATACCATATTCCATTTCTGTCAATAGCTCCTCTTGAATGTTACACACTGGACCGTTAAAGTCTCCATGCCACCCTCTGGCCCCCCTATGAATATTTATTGTAGATACAGACAAACGATGTATAGCTTCTTTTGAATCTATTGTATGTATCTACCAGCGCTGGTGCATTTGCAGCCAATAAGACCTGAGTTCCCCTGAAAACATTATTTGTGAAATTAAGGGGGTGGGGGGTCTCTAAAATATACATAGTTTATTTATAGTTTGCCATGCATTTCTATTTTGGTGTATTTATCATCATAGATCATGCATAAAAATTAGGCTATTATTGACATATATGTATGTCATTAAGGGATTATTAAATATCAGATGTACTGACATAAAGCAAGTAGGCCTACATTATTAAAGCTATGAATGTTTCTTTGAAACTAGTCCCCCCTTCCAAAAAAAAGGAAGCTCCCCCAAAGCCATTGTATAGTTCGCACACTCATCCTTTTGCTTGTGTGGATGTAAAATATGTCTTAAATTGCATTCATAATGGACTTAAAGAGGTCTTAAAAGTCTTAAATTCAACCTGTTGAAACCTGCAGAAACCCTGGTATAAGTGGTGTGTTGTTGGTGCACCAGTCGGCTCTATGAGTCAGCTACTTAAAGTAAACGATGGGAGCCGGAGCCCGTCTGAGGAACTGATTACAGTCCAGAAATGTCTCACTTAATTCCATTATGTACTAATAAAATAACACGGAGACTTTTGTATATGTATGTATTGTAAAACATAGTTTAATGTAAATAAAACCTTCCATAGACATGTGATGTTTTTAATCAAGGTTTTTTTACCATGCATAATGTAATTGTGGTATTCTGGAAATTATATAGTTTAGTACATTAAATAATTTAAGTGATTTATGCTTACACATCAGGTCAAATTATTGCTAGATTTTGCTGAGACAAATGATCTGGTTCATTAAAAAGAGCCAGAATACCCATCACTACCTGGTATGTATGTGTTTATAGTTTGTGGTGTTGTTTGAACAAATTTTACTATGCTATATACCTGAGGTGTTACAATTATTTTGTCCACAAGGTCAATAAAATTAGAAATGCAGTAGATCATCTCAGACTGTGGTCAAATAAAAGGAGAAAAAAGAACAAAATGTGTTGTAATGTCTGACACAGCTTCGTAAAGATTGAAAATATACTGGCTAAACCTGTGTACCATTTTTTCCTGAATATGAAGTTTTTAAATACAGTTACAAAGCTGAAAAAACTAACTCATTTGTTTCTTGTACAATAGAACATGTTATGTCAGTTGTGTTGTGTTTATACAACTATTTAAGTAAAAAAATAATTAATTATTAAAAATGTAAACTGTTTTGAAAAGAAGCAATGTATAGTTTACTTCAATTAATAAGTTAACAGCTCCACATTTTCTTTTATGTCATCGTAAATGACTACATTAAAATGCTGACAGTAGAATAATCAATTATATCCCTATATACCTTTATAAAGGCCCAGTCATACAAAAAAACCTTCATATACCATGAAACTACCAGAAGTACAGTCATACATTTTTTGTTTATACCACCCAGCACTGTTTTATTACATTTTAAAGATGTTTGGGTTATTGTTGTATCTGTAAAGTGGAGTAAATTGTTGTATTCTTTTAATTGTATAATTATAGTTGCGTATTCTATGTGACAAAGTGTATGTATCAGAAAAGTAGTAGGCTAAAAAATAAAATTATTTTCATTGATTAAAACAATAATTATTATAAACTGATACTAGAAGTAGGTTTTCACATACAAGGAATTTGCCTTGACAAGTTGGTGCATAACAATTAAAAAATATTAATAAAACTAGAGAGTAAAAAGAGACTATATAATAAAATATTTGAAAAAAAAATAGAAACAATAAGTGCAATAGGGCAAATAGATAAATCAGTGAATAGCTGTACAGGAATGGGCAAATTATGACGCATAAAGGATATTTGCAGGGTCCATGGGAAGTGCATTAATGTAACACAATGCTCAAATAGGTAATGCTGAACATACAACTGCAACGACTTACCCTTTATCACAGTCTCAAAGTTTAACAACACTACAAACCCTAAAGACATTTTTTTTAACTTGTTTAGGTAAAACTCGGCTGCGTGGCACCCAATTCCAAGCTGGTAAAGGTGCCTGATGTCCACCGGTGGAGCAGCAGTTTCAGCAACATGACAAATATGCCACCTGGTGCCAGGATCCGAATTGGAGACGAGTGCCGCCTCCTGGATTTTGAGTCATCAGATCGCCCTCTGGTGGTCAACTTTGGCTCGGCCACCTGACCCCCCTTCATCAGCCACCTGCCAGCTTTCCGGCAGTTGGTGGAGGACTTCAGTGACGTCGCTGATTTCCTGCTAGTGTACATTGATGAGGCTCACCCATCTGACGGCTGGGTGGCCCCTCCCATGGGCCCTTGCTCTTTCAGTGTGCGGAAGCATCAGAACCTGGAGGAGAGGATAGGTGCAGCGCGCCAACTCATTGAGCAGTTTTCCCTGCCACCGCAGTGTCAGCTGGTCGCTGACTGCATGGACAACAATGCTAATGTGGCTTATGGTGTGTCCAATGAACGGGTGTGTATAGTGCAACAGAGAAAGATTGCCTACCTGGGTGGTAAGGGGCCTTTTTTTTACAATCTGAAGGATGTGCGGCAGTGGCTGGAACAGAGCTACGGTAAACGGTAATGAAAGGAGGAATGAAGGACAAATACAGAGGAGGACATGTCCCATATTTCAGTAGGGAAATAAGAGCTTGTTCGGTTTTGTATAAAGACAAATCAAAAGGCGTGTTATGGTCAGTAGTGGAAAGTACATTTACTCATGTACTGTCAAGTACAAATGTAAGGTACTTTTGATTGAGTATTTCCATTTTATACTATGCTCCACTACAATTCTGAGGGAAATATTTTTGCTCCACAACATTTATTTGATAATTATTTTCTAGTTACCTTGCAGCTTCAGATAATAATACAAAATATAATCAACCAATACATGATTATGTATTATTATTATGGATAAAGACAAAACTTTATTGATCCCAGCTCTATGGTTGTGTGTTGTTAAGACTCTGGCGATACGATATGTATCATTATACAGGGGTTACAGGGCAATACACAACACATTTAAGGAATATTGTCATGGTATAGGATTTAGTACAGTACACAATTTTTGAGAATTGATACAATTTAAAAAAAAAATATATATATATATATATATATATATATATATATAGATAGATATAGATATTGTCATGTGATATTTTGGAACATTTCTCACAAGCAACCTGGCAATAAATATCAGGAAAAAATAAGCTCCACCTTTAGCAGATGCAACATTAAAGTGAACACATTAATGCATCCATAATTATTCAATTCAATTCAATTGTATTTGTATAGCGCCAAATCATAACATAAGTTATCTCAGGACACTTTCCAAAATAGAGCAGGTCTAGACCATACTCCTTATAAAATTATTTACAGAGACCCAACAGTTCCCACCATGAGCAAGCACTTGGCGACAGCGGCAAGGAAAAACTTCCTTTCCTGACAATTATAATTCATTAATATAATATACATTACTCAGAAACGTGTCATTCTGCATTTACTTTTTGTACTTTTAGTATATTTTGATGCTAATACTTTTGTACTTTTATTGAAGTAAAATTTCAAATGCAGGATTTTTACTTGTGTTTCTGCACTGTGGTATCGCTATGTTTATTTAAAGCCACCCTACAGTCAAAAATCTGTTTTTTTTCCTACAGTGCGATGTTTGAATGACACTGAAGGATGTTTTCACATTCATCTGCTAAAAGTCATCACAATTAGATTGGAAGTCAATCCTGGTATAGTATGGAACTTCTACAGTATGATGTAGAAACCTGAAACCACCAGTGCACATCCACAGAGAATGGACTTTACAGTGAAGTAGGAGACATCTTGTGTCCAGCAGGAAAACTAGGAAATTGTTTTGCAGAAACAACATATCAGACACACATTATTGTTCTAAGCAGAATATAGTGTCTGTGTGTCCTAATACATGTCTGGACCGGATCTTTAAGTAAAAGATCTGAGTACTTCTAACACCACTGGTTATGGTAATATCCTGGACGAGCCCCCATTATGTTACGACTGGTTCAAAGGCTGCAACATAAAGAGGGACACCGGGTAATGCAAGAATGTAAGTTATTTACCAAAAGAACAAAATGGAAAAATTAGCAGAACAAACAAAGAGCTGGTGTTGTTGCAGGGAGCCAAGAGAGTGTGGGCGGAGTAAAGAGCCATTTAAATAGTCCACAAACTCAAACAGGCATCTTTCATTTGGGATCAGTGAGCATCTAGGACACAAAAAGGACCCAGACCCACTATGAATAACAATGCCAAAAAGCGATATTGACTTAACATTTGAAATCAGACCAACTTTTCGCACATGGGTCCATTCAGACTGAGATGAACATTTGCAAAGACCCACATTGATAATAATCCACATTAACAAGGCAGCAAGTTGACATCAAGTTGACAGTGTTTGTGCTTCATCTGTATTCATGCCCACTTTTGCTGCTGATTTCCACTGAAATGTTAAACCAAACCACTGAAGTAGGGAAGAAATCACAATATTTTTTAAATATGTTTTATAAAGTAATACGATTTTAATAGAGATTTTAATATTGGAATTTTTCCACTGGTCATATGTTTTTATGCACTTTGTCAAATTAAGTTCCATCCTCTTTGGATAAACATTCATTCGTACAGTACATACTGACCATTGTTCTGCATCTGACAGCTCTACATAGTTTTTTTCCTTTCTGCATAGTCTCTATAACAAACATTTACCCATTTGGATGTTTTCATGTTTACAATATTAAATTAAAGTAGATATAATGTGGCTTGTTTTTACACTGATCAACAGAAAAATAACCTTTGTAAATATGAAAACAGATCTTTCCAGTGTGATCTAAGTGGTCAGGATTTAGTAAATGCACCTTTGGGAGCTGTTACAACCTTGAATCTGTGTGGATATGTTGTGGTAGTTTATGCTTCGCACATCTGGACAGTGCCGTTTTCCCCCCATTCCTCTTCACAAAGCTGCTCAAGCTCTTGTCAGGTTGCATGGAGATTGTGAGTGAACAGCCTTTGCCAGTCCAGCCACAAATTCCTGACTGGAAATTCTGACTCAGCCACTCCAGGACTTACATTTTGTTGTTTTTAAGTTATTCCTGTGCAGCTTTGGCTACTAGGGCTTATTTCCTCGTGCTGGACAAACAGATCTTGTCTTAAGTTGCAGGTTACTTGCAGACTGCATCAGGCTTTCCTGCAAGATGTCTCTGTATTTTTCTGCATTCGTTTCACCCTCTACCCTCACAAACCTGCTGCAGAGAAGCAAACCTAGCAGCATGGCCCACCCCAGACATTGTGTTTAGTGTAATGTACAAAAAGCTCAGTTTTGTTTCCCATCAGACCATAGAACCTTCTTCCAGCTGACTTCAGTCTCCCACATACCTTCTGGCTAACTGTAGCCCAGATGTCATGTGAGTTTTTTTAAGCGTGGCTTTTTCTTTTCCACTTTCCCACAAAGTTGTGACTGGTAGAGTCATCAGTGTTTACCGCTCTCACTAGCCTCCTTACACACTTCCTCAGTTTCAGTGGATAGTCTGCTTTAGAAGCCATGTTTTTTTCCATTTCCATTGTTCGAATTACGGGCTTAGTTCCTCCAACATGACCAGGGCTTCTGGGGGCTCCAGTCCTAAATCATTTAGGCTTTTAAAATAACTTCCCCTTAGTCTCTCTGACTGGACCAGAGTTCTATTACTGCCTCTTTTTAGGTTTCAGGAGTTAAAATTAGTCATCCTCAACATTTGTTATGTTCTGGTTTCAGAATGATGAAGACAGTTAGAGAACAGTTTAATACAAAATATGGTAATATTAATGGTAAATGGACCTGTACTTGTATAGTGCCTTTCTAGTCTTTCGACCACCCAAAGCACTTTTACACACACACCCTATCTCACTCAGTGATGGCAAAGCCCATCGAACAGAAACTGACGCATTCATACACATTCACACATTTTGGGGTTCACTATCTTGCTCATTGCTGCTTCCACATGTGGTGGGAGGAGCCGGGGATCAAACCAGACAAAAAATATAATTCAAACCTAATGTCCTGTCATCTGTAAGTTTAAATGCGTGCCCCAGTCAGTGTGGCTAACTTATCTTGTGTCAATAATGCATTATCGATCTGGACATGTGCTTGATATTTTTTATGCAGCCCATGAATCATGACACACCCTTTCATGTGTTACTTTGTACGCCTATACATACATTCAGGAATTTGGTGTCAAATTCGCAACGACCAGTGAGTGCAGTGTTGGCTAATGGACTCCTTACAGCACATTGAGTTCAGCAGCCCCTCTCTCGTCATTTCTGCAGAGTAAACCTGAGTATCCGGTCTAGCAGCATGTAGTAAAGACTTGATTCCTTTTGTGAGGCAGGTTCTTAAAGGCAAACCTTTAAAAGCAATATTTCATAATAGAGGGGATGTAGCAAATATCCTCCCATAGTGATATTTCCACGGCAGGTAGAGACAGGCCCAAATATTTCCCAAAGTGGCTGAGTGACTGAGTGTTCTTATTTCTAATTATAATATTTGCTTTAGAGGGCTGCAGGGATGATGTATTTTTGTAGGACAACACAGCAGTTGCTGGTTCCTGGTTGCTTTTGACAAAAAGCCAGTGGGACAATTTGGTGAACAAAGGTTTATCATACTTACATGTTTTGTTCAGTAAGATAATCAGATCAGATCAATCAGTTTATGAATTTTTAACCATAAATGCGATCGGCAAAAGTAATAAGTTAACATTAGGCTATAAACAAACTACACCACAGTCGTATGACTTCACTGGAAGTGCAGAAATTCTAACTCAGTTCTGGGTTTTAGGACTCATTCCTGCAGCACTTTATTGGGGGCCATGGCCCAATGAAGTCTCCCTCTTTCTCTCTGTCCTTCTCCTCCTGAAGCTGTACATGGTTCTAACAGTTTGTTACTTTGAATTTTACGTCCATCTATCCGCAGGATTTTCAGTTGCTTTCCCCTAATCTTGACCACACATAGGTGAACCATTTTACTAATTATGTGATGTCTAAAACCAATTGGCCACACCAGTGATGATTTATGTGTGTCTTATTAAAGAGGGTGAATACTATGTATTTTTTATTTGTAATCCATTTAGATAGTTTTGAATGGATTTTGAGACCCATTTTTATTAGTGTCAAAAAGCCGCATTAAATCTACTTTACATGTTGTACAACATAAAAACTTCCAAAATACTGTTTACTGTTTGTTATAAATATAATAACACAGTAAATTACTGTATGCATACATTACAGATTATAACATTTATGACAGTTCTGAGTTTGAAAAGTTCTTGACTTTGACCATCTTTAATATTCTGAGCTTTTTTTTTTTTACTTTAAACTCAGAACTCACACTTGGCACTAATCCTCTTCCGTAGAAATCAGATCAACATTTTGTGTCTTTGAAAACATATTTTCTGTCGAAAGTTAGTAGTATGTAAACCTTTCTACGGGATATGGTTGAGCACCAACACAGTCATTGCTAAAATCTTTATATCTATTGTATTTACAACACATAGCCTAAACAGCATTACAATTGAAGAGCATGGTCAACATTTAGTAAAGATGAATTTCAAACATGTATTCCTAATGGAGCTGCGGAGGAATTTGCAACTTCAAATCCCTGAGATGGTACTGGCAATGTGGTCAAACCATCTAATTAATGTTAGAAATGTTCTTCTATCTACAGAATACATGTGGATTTACTTGTCTCACAGCTGAGGTGCTACAGGTATGTTTACATTTTCTAGGAGGCATTTACAATGTATTTTTGGGTTCTTTTTAAACCGAAGTGGCCTACAAACATCCCTCTCAGTCAACTCAAGCTCTATTTTTGTGCCGAATCAATGATCAGCGCTGTCAGCTGCTTGTCCTCATGGGTACAAACAGGCAAAACTAAACATTTTAATGGAAGCTCAGATTCAAATCTTAGGATTTTGATGACATGAAACCATTAAATATCCTTAAATATTTAAATATTGTCAATGTGTTCAGGTCAGAAACTGTTGAAAGTAGGTTTGTGTGGTTGAGATGGGTATAGAATGTGTCAGGATCTGTCAGTTGTCATGCTGAAGCGATAAAACAGACACACAGATGGATTGTTCTGGTCACGGTGACAAAGGTGTGCAAATGAAAACCTTTGGCGAAAGAGTCCCTGACTCGGTCTCTGGTTGGATGGTGAACTGCACCTGGTCAACATGACAGAACCATTACATCTGTTTTCACTGTCGATCTGTTAAAACTAGTTATGTCTTATAAAAAAACATTTTCCATTTAATCCTGTGTGCTTTTTCATGACTGCTTAGTGCAATGTTTTATTTTTCTAATGTGTCTAAGAGATATAACAAAGTGGAAAATAAAGGAGAATGTTTGCTACTGAAACAGCTTCACATGTTGTCTTTATGTCCTAAAGCAGCGGTTCCCAACATTAGGGTCAAGACCCCCACTAGGGGTCACCAAAGCTTTGTGGGGGTTGTGAGGCCTTCTTGATATAAAGGTGTGTAAGAAAACATAAAAAATATACACAATATGCCCTATATTCACTTCTGTGAAGAAACATAAATGTAAATGCTCCATATTTGTTCCCAGAAGTATGTACGATGATATTATCAGGATATGAGGCCTTTAAAAAAAGTTAAGGGACTAATCTCACCGTAGTAACAATGACAGGGAGGCTTGTTGGCAGCACATTGTCGACAGAGTAAATTCAAGTAACATTACACTGTTCATGTCGTAGGTTTTCTACTTTTCTCTTACGGACTATTCTTTTACTTGTGATATGATTGAATATGATGAAATTTCTGTGATTGAAGTGGAAAACTCAATTAACTCAATTAAATTGACCTGTTAATTAATTAACAGGGATTAAAATCAGAAAGTCAGCCTGAAAAGTTGAAAGAAAATGTGTATGTATTGAATTAAGTATTATATGACTTTTAAACTGATCTATGTCTGAAATCATACATGGTGCCTGAGAACTTTAAGCCCTGAATTAAAATCTGAGTCTGAAGGTCTACCTGTGTGAATGAAATGCTACTGTTAGATCAAGTGTGCAGTCAGTCGCACCAATCACCCTCTGGATTCCTCTGGAAATAAAGTGTTGTATATAGGTCTAGTCTATGTATATTAAAAAGTATTTCTTTATCGTGAATTGCCTGCAACTGCATAAAAAGCCTTTTTAGCCTGATTAAATGGGAACTTAAATGCATTCTGGCCCTAGAAGATGGCATAGATACTGAATTCCCACAGATGAGAATGAATATCTTTAATAGAGAATATCATTGGGGTAAACTATTGGATTTTGGCGGTCTCTGAACACCCTCGCCCTCCGCAGTGAGCCTCTCACAATCCCTGTGCCAACGACTTCCAAATGTGCTGCCATTTTTGTCCACAAGATTCTGAGTTGAGGAGAAGAAGTTCACAGGGTAACATTGAGTTAACGCTGAAGAAAACAGTTTAGACATGTAGACTAAATCACCATGACGACATACCTGAGGTAAAACTTATCCACCTTTTGTAGAATGAGTTAACCTGGACGTTACACCTGCAGTTACCTGGATAAGCCAGTTATATCGCTTGGTAGTACAGCCCTCTGGTGTCTAATAATGTTTGCCATTGGTTGATGTCTGTGGCACAAGAGAAGTGCGAGGTGTGAGCAAGACTGAGGGTGCGCCAATGTGTCAGAGAGAAAAAAGAGGGACAATGTTCCAGCTTTGCTGAAAAGGGTTAAGTTAATACCAACTTTTGGACTAATTCTTGGACTGTCAGCCTGACATTCTGTGAGAAGACAGATAAACAGGTAACTATTTTATGTAGCTACTTGTTGAGAGCAGCACAAAGTAGTTGATATTAGAAATAGAGTAATAGTAAATATACAATAGAGAAAATAAGATCTTTTACATTACTTTCAGACTTTGTTATTGTTATTGTTATTATTTTCAGCAGCAGAGGAAAGACTTCTGTTGTACCCCCACTGCAGTGGTAGTGGAGTATTTTCAAACTGTGGTATTAATACTTAGGATCAGATTCTTCCTCCACCCACAGCCTAACTGTACTTTGTGTTACCGGCCGAGCCTTCCCCTTTAAGAAAGGTGGGCTTGTGGGAAACCTAGGCCGGTTTGACAACGCTAAAGTTGGCTGTATATACTTATATGGATTTATACGAAGCCTTGATGCAAAGAATTTACATAGAAGATTTTTAGTAATCAAGTTACTCGAGTAACTTGAGGAATCGTTTCAGCACTACTCAAAGACATAACGTTACAGGACCCACTAGTCTCAATAGCAGTATTGATAAGCTCAGACCTTATTGATTTTCGGGTTTTGAGAAATTTTTAACCAGGTCCTTATAGAGCCACTTCTAATAAACTTCTAAAAATAGCACAGGTGTTTATTTGCTTCATTGAACTCACCCTGACTTGTTTGGGAAGAGGCATCTTTTGAGGACAGATTTTTAAAGGCTGGGAGTCACTTTGTTGTTTACCATGCTGGTAAATCTGAATGAATTATACTTTGGTGCTCATAGTTTCCGTAAATTTACTAAAGTTTAAACATTTATCATTTTGTAGGCGATCTAAGCAGCTTAGATCTCGCTCAAGCAGGCGACCCGGTGGGCTGTAAGAGGTTTTATACATCCAGATCATTTCTATAAAATCCAGATCAGGCCTCTAATTGAGACCTGCCTTTAGTTGTCCAAACATGTAGCCATACCAGGTTAGTAAAAGAGACCTGCATCTATTTGGGACAGCAGTTTTACAGTATTTTTATTCATTTGGTTATATTGCTATCATCAGGAAAGCATGATTTTTATTATAACTTATTTTGCTTTATCTTTGTCTTTGTTTGTTTTTTTAGATTAATTTTATTCCTATCACTTTGATATGGTTCTATACTCTTACCTGTACCTCTGCTGTGTTTCATTCTCTTCTGCTGTTGTTGCTATGACACCACAGTTTCCCTCCGAGGGTTAATAAAGGTATCTTATCTTACCTCATCTTACATATATAAGGTACATATTATAAAAAAGATAAGATACATATTACTTCTTGAAACCCAGGATTTCGTCCAGTGATTCGATGGACGTATTTGTATGCTAATACTTGTTTAATCAATAATTTTACCACCAAGGCTTAGTGTTAAATAAAGTTGGATTTTGGTGTCAACAGTACGGAAGCCCTAAAGGGCCATGTATTCATACATTTTATTTCCTCCTTTTTCTCAAGATAACGATATAATAAATTCGAGATCTCGAGATAATGACTGTGATATGATAACTGCGGTCAAGCCAGCCGTTACTCCGATCTCCGTGGTCAAATCAGCCGCACTTAAATTTAAAGCGTATTCACTTCCGGTTTTCAAAATAAAGGTATTAAGGACAGTAAGCCATAATTCGAACCTACATTTAAAATAAAATATGTTACATTAAAGTGTTTCATGCGCCCATGATGAATAAAAAACTTAATATCAAGCATGGAAATAAAATGTATGAATACATGGCTCTTTAGGGCATCCGTACAACAGTGTCATGTCAACAATATTAAAACATTTATTTTAAAAGTATTATAATTATAATTTAAAAAATAATTTTGAAGTTTGGAGCAATTTTTGTAGTAGTCAGTGGTGCTTTGAGGGCCTTTTGCTGTAATACCAACTTAAAAACGATGACAAAACCCTGGGTTTGCAAAATGGGTCAGTGCTGACGTTTTCTTCTGGAGACTCCTGGAACTGAAATACACCTTGTCTTGCAGCTCAGGTTTTGTAAGGACATGGAGAGTGACATACATAGAAGCTTCTGAAAGTCTACTCTGGCTGACCCTCTGTGCATCCAGGCTGAACTTTTGTTCATCCAGATTTACCGAGTAATCCAAGGAGAAAGAGCACGGCTGAAGGAGGACAGAGTAGAATGCATTACGAAAAGGGAGGGAGCGGGTGGACGTGCATTTAGTACACATGCCGCTGCCGACCACTTTCTCCCAGTGTCGGCCCAGTTTTGAAGCTGACCAATTCTCTCCCACCTCCTGTAATCCCTTTTTTTTCTCATTTCTACACACCTCTCATCTTCTTTCATGTTATTTTACAGTTTCCCTCGGATAGTGGTGTGAAAAAGAAGTTTTTGTGGCACACTCTGGTCAGTTGTGTTTACAGAAGAATGGCAGTCTGTGTATTCACGTGTCCTCTTACACTGAAAAAGCACACAAGGTCCAGCCAGACACTCAGTAATACTGAAAGTGCGCCAGGATACGACGCTGGAAAGGAAGAGACTAATTAGCTACACAAGTTCAAGCACCAAAGAAAAGAGGAACTGGTGTGTTTGTGTGTGTGTGTTTTAGAGAGCCTTGGAAAGAAAGGGGACTAGTGGTAAGCGGGATCTGTACAGAATCATAACGGGGACCCCCTTTTCTCTTAGTCTACTTACGTCCAGAGCTGTTTCGCCTTAACGCACACACATACATGATGTTTGGTGCGACAATTTCCCTATTCACCATTCCCCACTCTTCAACCCTCGATGTTTCTGAATCATGCATCAAACCATTACCAGTTTTCTTGGCAAGACACTTATCTATCTCTCACAAGGTGGATAACCACAGGTTCCTGATCATTTAAAGTGGACATTTAACATTTACATTCACTCTTGTCTGTTGAGAGAGCTTGCAGGCAGACAGCTCCCAGTGGGGTCTGTCAGAGTTACATGCCGACAGTCTCTAGCTAGCTGTTGCTTCAGTTGTTAGAGCTGGTCTCTGCTGCTTTGGTGTTACAAGAACAAAACGTGAGCTGCTGTGGGTGAGTGGCTCTTCTCCCGGGCCGGATACTCGGTTTGTGGCCTAGTGTGGGTTTGGATCATAGCTAGGCTAATGTTAGCATTTAGCAGATGCCTGGAAGGATATAGCCAGATCTGATATCGCTGCCAGATCAGTACACCATCTTTGTACAGTAGTCCAGAATGGATATTCTAGATAGGTATAAAAATCCTGCACATTGGTCCCAGGAGACATATTTAGCATAGTCTTCACATGGGTCTATGAATGTAAATACAGACACAATGTGATCTTCAGACATTTGACATAATGCACTCACACTTATATGTATAGAGTGCATCAGAATTATCTCAAAAAGGACTCCAATATCACTTTTATTTATTTCAGACCCTGGTAGGCCACATTTCCTTTCTGATTACTTCAAAATAAATATCCAAGTGGCTTAAGGAATGGCAGTTAGGATCTGTTGGTCAGTTCACCACTTTGGTCCAGATTGAAATATAAATGGATCGCATTGACATCTGGCACATATACAGTGGTGGACTTTTTGTGGCTGTTTGAGGTGGGGGCGAAAAAAAGGGCACCAGCGCATAGAGAGTTGTGATGCATTTATGGTGAAACAGTTTAGTCAGGGTTAGGATTAGCACCATACATAGAGGGCACTTTTGCAGAGGTTTTTTTTTACATTAAGGCCCAGTGTACATAGTCTATATCCATGGTGCTCAGAATGTGATTCACACTGACATTGGTGATCCTCTGGCTTTTTCTCTAGCACTAGCAGCAGTCCAAATTTTCACTTATCCAAAGAAATGGATTGGCACAAAATTTTTCAGAGGATGAATCCCAGCATTCTCATTCCCATGTCATCAAATAATGATATGTTTTCACACCCCTCTGTGTCTCATACAGAGGGACAAGGTACAAACAAACACAGGACTTTTACCCATGAGACCAGAGGGTTTGTGTCCTGTGTAAAACCAAAAGTCAACGTTGAGTTATTTAAAAGACACTTGTGTCAGTAAGTGACATGTTTTTAACTCATACCACGATGAGTTTTTCTAAACCTAACCAACTGGTTGTAGTGCCTTAACCTAACTAAACTGCGACAATTTCACAATGATAACTACGTGTTAAGAAAACTCTAAAGGGTAGCCTACTTTGTGAGTCTGTGGGACGAGGAGCGTGACTTAGCAGCGGCAGTATTTGACTACCAGAGGGAATAGTTTCAACAACCACTGGATGGTTAATTATGTAATTTGGTCCAGACATTTAAAGTCTTTGAATTAGTGATTCTTTTCATATAGTGCCATCAATTTCCAAATTTCAGTTTGTCCAGTACTTTGGTTTAAACAGTTGGTTTTCTTTACAAGGAGCCATACAGCCTCACAGAGCTGCTCCCATGAGTGGAGACACATCGTCAAGAGAGGTTCTGCCCCTGCTTCATGTGCTGAATTGGATCACAAATCCAAGGAGGTTACAGTATCTAGAAGAATGGTCTTTCTTCTAGATAGTCACATAGCTGACTGAGGCCTTCCCAAATCAATATTCTTCTGTTCAGCATTCACGCAACACACTCTATATAACCTCATCTCAGTGGATGACAATTGGTTTATTGGTTTATCTAAAATAGTAAGACACATAATTATACAGTACAACAGTACAGCTTAATGCAGGTCATATATTACTGTAGTCAGACCAGACTAATTGAAAAACAGTAAGACTTATGCTGGCTCAATTGTGATAATGGCAACCACTTGCGGTTGTGTGAATAATGACCGTTGTGTCTGGGAACCACAGGTGAAAGTGTTATGGCCATGAATCTCTTGGGTTTACTGTCTATCTTCTTTAAACCATAGCCACAATATTTCCCCACTTTAACAGAGTAGTTTTAGATGCCTAAGCTTAACAAAACCTTACCTCTAAACTTCAGAAACTCATATTAATATTTTTTGTTAAAACGGTTATTTCAAAAGACAAGGACAAAGAATCTGTTTTATCATTAAGGTTAGAGTTTCCTTTAAGCAAGCTTGATGGTCTTCAGGATCTACTGGCAAACTGTTTGCTGTTTTTTAAGACAAGCTGGTGTGACTGGCCAGTACTGTCTGCCACAAGTCAAACTGCTGATAATGTACTCCTCCTTCTAATCGTGCAGACGCACGGAATCCAGCATGGATACATCTGGATGGACCGGAACACTGAACAGTCCGGGTGGGGCTGCGAGTCGGGCGGTGCTTGATGAAACCATGGTGGCCAGGTCAGAAAGTTTCTCATATTACATCTAAACAGTACCATAAAATATGTTTCTGAACAAATTTGATACGACAGATAGGCAATGCTGTAACATAATCTTGATTCATATTTAATCAGCACTGCCTAGTTTGACAGTTTGAGCTTGGTGTAATGCGCTGAACGGGTTCATTGGCTGAACTTTCATTAAAGTTGAGGGCTTGTGCAAATACAGATACAGTGATTGCATGCATCACGCAGCTGGATCACTCGCTCAGAAAAAAATAAATATTAGGCTGTCGACAGTTCAGTTAACTTCAATCCACAATTGATCCAGTGTGTTTGTGCCATAACAATGCCCTCAGTTACATCAAAACAAACTTTTAACAAGTAGTTACAAGTTCACAGTACCAAGCAGTACCAAGCAGTACCAGGCAGTATAGGATTATTCATAAGGTGTCTGTTCCAAAGTGGCTTCAGATAAACTTTTGAGTTTAAACCCTGTGTTGGGAGAAACTCTGCGTTTTCTGTTCCAGAAACTGTTAGAACTTTAACTCACTGTCTATACAGGTGCTTTGAAACGAATCTTCAATAATTTTCAGAGATTGACATCAGAAGAGGAATATCAAAATCCCAGTTGGATATTAGATCATTGCTCGAGGATGTTTCAGCTTTTATATGCAATTAGTATCTTCAAATATTACACATGGATTCATCTGCTCAAAATGCATCAACGCCTTTTGTGACTGGTAGTTTTATTGTGCCACTGTGCACACTGGTAAGAGGGTTGTTAGAACATTTCCACTGCACTAACATTTTCAAATTGCTGTTATTAATTAATAAAGATTATTATAACAATTATTATTCAGTGTGAAGCTTTAGACACTGATCAATAAATATTCATATTGGAGAATGTATGTGGACATTTCTGAACCTTGAACCCAAGCAGGACTGTGGTGTACAAAGACTAAGGTTTCAAAAATGGAGTAAATTTAGTTTAAAAGTGACTGAATTTATACTTAATAATGCATGATTAACAAGCTCAGAGTTGATTAAACTAACTCCAATCAGCTATTCTGGAACCAGAAAACTCATAATGATTAAAAGTTTAATTCAGTTTAAAAAACAAAAGATTCTGATATCAAACCCGTAAGACAATCCATATAACAAAATTAAGAATAAAATATTCTAAATATATAAAACATTAAGTTAAAAATAATAAATGATGAAATAAATGAGTGAATCAAAAGTAACTACAGACAAAGAAGTTGCTGTTATAAATGATACAAAAACACATCTCAATTAGGAATACTATGTGTTAGGAAGATAAATAAAATAACCCAAAATGATCCCAAAAACTGAACAAAACTTGAGAAAATAAAGGAGCTGATGAAATCACCATTAAGGGCGGGGTTATGGTCAAAACAGCTACTTTGTACGATGTGTTGTACGACCACGTCTGAAGGCAAAAGTGTTTACAGCTGTTCCAAACAGCCACACTTAAAGGCTGTGACCTTAAGCTGCACAGCAAGGGTTTGCATCTGAATGTGGAACAGTCTGAAGCCCTGGTTCTGAGGTCTGACGCTACAGTGGACTGGAGTGAGTGAAGGAATTCAGTATATTGTGCTTTTGTGGGGACTGGTACAATCTAGGCAATAATGAGGATGTTCTACCTGTCATGGCACAGAGAGCTCTGTGCCTTAAGATGCTCCAAGCTTCAAGTTTACAGGTTAATTTTCATCAGGGCCCTACAGCTTTGGGACATGAAAATGATTTTCCTTCACAGGGTGGCAGGGCCAACCCAGTGTCACTACCAAGTCATCAAATTTTGATGATTGGTCAGTGGCCCTCTGCTTCAAAATGTGATGAATTTATTTCCAGTTATGTCAGGTATGTAAGGTAACTTACTACCTTTTTCCTAAACCTAACCAAGTAGTTTTTGTAAACCAAACCAAACTGCAACCATTTAACAATGTTAACAACACAAGCTTTGTGGACATTTATTATAGCTAAATGGAGGAGGTTGCAGACATTACGTATTTGTTCTTGACGGGCACCTACCTTGTCTTTTTTTTAATGTATTTTTTGGGGCTTTTATTGCCTTTAATTGATAGTATTAGATAAGAAGGGGGGGGGCAACACACAGCAGGGCCACTTACCAACAGTAGTATTTGACAAGTTGGGAGTGAGAACGTGTTGACTGGGTTCACATTTATCTCTAGGCTAAAAAGATTGAATATCTGGAAGCAGCTCAGATATTGCTACACCTTTGTGTTGCAATGGGTCAGGCATCTGATTAAGACAACCGCTCTCCTACGGCGAACTCCTAAACCGTTAAACTGTTTAGTCTGTTTCTCTCTGTCATCATTTTTCACATAGAAACGAACGTAAGTTAGTTGTTAGCGCTTGTTCCAGAGGACCTCTGCCTGACCAGCCTAATGTCAGTTAAAAGTTTACTTTTACCCAGCACGGTTTCCATGGGAAAAGAGAGAAACAGATCTAACATACTTGCCGTTAAGGAGTTCCAGGTGAACTCCTGGAAGCCATTGCCATATTCTAGGTGTGTGTGAATCAGAGGATCCAGAGCAGACCTCAGGTCCGGTTTTATCCTTAGCATGCAGTTTTTATGTAAATCACACTCTCCTATCGCTGAAAAAGACAAATATGGAGAAAAAAATCTTAAGATTGTCACTGAAAAACACATCAGAATAAAAAAACGATAAAATAAAAAAAATGTAATGCCTACATTTTATTTTTTAAGTAGAGTTCTTTTCTTTTTGTATTAATGCCAAATTTTATTTTTAGTGCCAGATTTTAGAGTCACTGTCCTTGCTCCATAGAGGGCTAAGTTTCCCCCCAGTATAGAACCAAGTGTATTTAATTGGCCGAGGTTCAATACTTAGGTGCCTAACTTAGATAATGTGACGTGAGATGCATTTGAAAATTTGGGTGGGCCAATACTTACTGTGTGTACAGTAGCTGTGAGATGAGATGCATATGTGCAGTCTATGCTTGCGAAACAAAAATAAATAAAGGGATGGCTGTTTCTTTGATTTAGTTTTTTTTTGTGATTGGCCAATGTACAATCTCCCATAAATTAAAGATGGATATTCTAAGTGGAGCCCCTTGCCTTATCGTTCAGTCTGAAGGCAATGTGAACCCAGGACCTGACTTTAACCAGTGCCCCAACTGATCTCTTAAATGTGCCAAAAACATTTTTTCACACAGCTTCCCCCAAGGGGGGATTCCTACATGAAGATGTTTTCTGGTATCTGGTTGGTGTTAACACATACTTTCATGCACCAATCAGAGCTTTTGAATAAAATCTGATTACAGTTGTGGGGCTGTTTGCTCATGTGGCCAGTAGGGCTGCACAATTAATCGAAATATTATCAAAATCGCAGTATGGCCAAAGGCAATATGCAATTTTTTTGTAGAATGATGCTAACTTCCAGGTTGGCCTACAAAAATATGTCATCCCTGCAGCACTCTATATTGAATATTATACAGAAAAACTAAATATTTTACGTTTATAGGGAAAATATTAAAGTGGTATTGTATTGCCATGAGTAATTGCATAATTGGATTTACCAAGGACTACAATATAATTTCAGAGAAAAAAAAAATTAAGTTTTATTTGTTATCAAACTGATGAAAAACGGTTGTGAAAAAAAATATGAATTTCAGGCAAAAAAAATGCTGCACCTCCACATCATTAAAAGAAAATGGCAGTTCATGGGAACATAAATGAACAATAAAATATTGTCACAATGTTAACTAATGATAAGGAGGTGACAAGACAATGATTTGAGGTGACCAGTCCCATAAAAAACACCTTTTTAGCTCTTTTAAACTATGAACCCCCATCCATTGTAGTCTCTTTGTGTCTCTGTCTTTGCCATAACTCTGACTTTATTCTTTTTCATAAAGAAATAACACTAGTGTGTAACCCAGAACAAAAAAGCCATGATACAGAAGGAAGGGCACCTTGTATTTGTTGGACAACTGCAAGTAGTTAAATATTCATGCAACTTTAGAAACATCTCTGGTTAGATCTCTAGGCTAACAATACATTTTTATTCTTTATGAAATATCAATATGATTCTCCACATTCTGATTAAAGTTTTTCTCCATGTAAATTAACAGTTAATAGATTCTGTCATGAAATACGTTGATAAACCATATGTTCAGTCTGTACAATAGAGGTACTAAAAATTACAACTGTCATGGTATATGTACAATTTCCTACCTACAAAGTACAACAGCTAGCATGTAATAAAATATGTAAACAAATTTCTTGTTTTTTGACACAGTTGACTGTGACAGCAGATAGAATTCACACTTTCAACATTTGATTTATTTCTGTATACACATTTGTTAACAGTGTTGTAGTACTGCATTTGTTTCCTGACACCTCCATAAAAAAAGAGAACGATAGGCAATGAACCAACATACAGTTTTGCAAAAAGATAAAACCACCACTGGCTGTGCATCAATAATAGACCTTTTTCTTTTAGAGAGTTTTTTCCATGGTTAACATTTTTGAGGGGATCGAAAAGAGAGGACAGGGGCTAAGTTCTGATCTGACGATGAAGAACTGTTTGGCATTAAAGAGAACATGGTCCAAGTTCAACACTGTATACTGGACTTTTACTGTACTGTACTTTACTGTACTGAATTAGGATGGCATGCATTTTACAATCAGTTGCTTTTTACCAAGAGAAACGGCCACTTCTTTCCACAAAGTGAGTCACTCCGTCTGTCAGACAATGAGGAATAACTGGTGAATCAGATGCCAGAGCCAACAGATTCTATGAGATCTGCCCATGGCAATTTGCTCACTTGGTATCATTTTATACACAGAAATAGTTTTCTTTTCTTGCTGTTCTTTTTGTCTTTTTGTTTCTTTTGCTTAAAGCAAAAATAAGTTAGACACCACACTTGTATTATGTATAAACCATAAAAATTTGTCATATTCTGATATAACAAGAGTCCTTTTTTAGTTTTACAATGATGGTGTGCCTGACCCCCCTCTTGTTAAGCACTACATGTTGCTTACATGCTGAAAATGTATAAGATTATGAGCCTTTTGTAATTAACAATTTTACAAAAAAGTTTTTTGTTCAATGCCAAGGATCACATAGCTCTAAAAGTCACTTAGGAGAATGATGTAGCTGTGAAATATTTCTATACTGATAACGTCTCTGACCAGATAGAAGAGTTAGGTCTCTAAAGTTGCTATTTAGCCTTGTCGTTATGCTTACAATAGTAAGTGTGCTTTATATTACAGTACATATCATCAGTTCAACTACTCAGCACAGTATAGGATTATTCAAGTTCCACGTTATACCATCATTTGTCATAGCTCCTCACAAGGAAACTGATAAGTAAATGTTCTCTTAGTGCTTTCTTTCTTCACTCTCTCGTGTTCACGAAAGTCTCACAGTCACACATAATACTCCTTATCTTTATTTTTCTGTTTCTTGTTGCTGCCTTTCAAGCTCTGCTGTTTGTCCTTCATGACAGCGCCATTGCTCTGCACAGCTGAGTTGGTTATGTAGTTCCTGCTCTCGTCCACCTGGTAGGAGCCTTCATCCCTGTTCCTGTACTTATACATGGCATACAGAAGGATGAGGATGCACAGGGCAGCGGCCGCCACTATTCCGATGACCATCCCGGTGGTGCTGCTAGATTCACGGACCACTTCCGAGGGCCCTGGAACTCGCCTGACGCCCGGCTCTGTGGGGAGTGCTGTGGGTATATTACGGAACATTGGGGAGGTTATTAATGGGCCCCTCAGCTTGGTGCTGTCTACCTCAAAGGATGTGGGCAATGGAAGCAACACTAGGTCGGGCTGGGGTTTTAGCTCGCGGTTATTCATTTTGCCAGCCGGCTGTTTGGCCGGAGCATTGTGGAGGGTTGCGGTGGAGGCAGAGGTGGCGGTGGTGCGGCTCTGGTCGGCGGTTAGTGGTATGGCGGTAGTGGTAGCTCTACCGCGTCTGGAGATTGAAGGTTTGTTAGGTCTAAAAGTCTTGGGCGCGTGAGCTTTGTAGCCACCTTCAAAGCCTGACGTGGACAAGGTCTTATCTGTTACCAAGGAGAAGGTCGTGTAAAAATCTTCATCATCAGTAGGGGGCAGGTTAGACTTGAACGCTTCCCCAGAGCCATACCCCGATATCACCAAGCCATCATCATCACAATCATCGCTGCCTCGGTCCGACAAGCAAGGTACCCCCGCCTCAGTGGCCTTGGACAGGGACTCTTTGGTGGTCTCAATAATGGTGAGGAGTGGGTGGTGGGTTGAGGGAGTGGGAATGAAGGGTGCACGAGGAGCTACAGAGGGGTGCGCTAATGGATCCTCAAGTACTGGGATGACTAACTCAGCTCCTGGGATTGGAGACAGACAGGTAGTCATGTTAGAGGGCAGCATGGGGGTTTTATGAAATATACTGAATTAGATACATCTGTAAAAACAGAAAAACAAAGCATGCAACAACTAAACCCAAATCTATGAAAATAAAATGTGCATCTCAGTTTAAGACTGGTAAATATAATATAAATATATTTATATAAATGTCAAAAGGTTTAAGAGGTTTGTAAGGACGAGCCACAGAAATCAAGCAAAACTAGCTTTAAATTCAGTGTTTCAAGGGTAAGTACAATCCTTAAATGTAAACTAATAATCTATATATGCTAAATACAAATGAATTAAAGTATCCAATAACTATTTTCAGTCATTTAAATCAAATAAAAGGCATTATCCATATTGGCTAATGGCTCTCCAATCATCTTAAACCTCTTGCTTGTCTATGGTATTACAGAAAATCGATGTTATAGTTCTACAAACATTTCTTAGATGCAGAGCTGTTTTGAAGTTAAAAGTGATCTCAACCTTAAAGTTAAATTTCTGTGAAAGAGCACTAACAACCACTTTGTTTGGGCACAAGTTCGCTTTAGTTAAGCTGGAACAGTTTGTAAAAATGGAATAAGAGAAAAATTTGAAAACCCTCCATCAATGAATTGGATGCTCATCAATGCTTTCTTTATGCTGAAGAGAACATTTGGGTAAAGCTGGACTGATATTAAATCGGATGCACATTCCAGGCAATGTGTCATTGGTATTATTAAGCACCCAAATGATTCTATATGGAGTCAACAGACCATGTCCTAGAGTTCACCACTTCCAGATAGTGCGAGGTCAAACAGACTAGATAATTAATTGAATTACAGAGAGATTGTGTCTCATAACAGGGAATACTGATCATGTTAGTTTCTGATGGCATTAAGAACCTCCTTTCTCCTCGCTTTTTCACTGGGCTTCAGTGTGCTGTTAATTTAAGTTGAAAGTGACAATGATTCAGCTCTGCGGCCAAGAAAAAGCTGTTCAACTATAACTTTGATTTTAAGTTTATATTATTATTATAAGTTCAGTGTCAATGGCAGAGCAAAGTCACCTGAATGTTCACCCTTTGTGAAATACAGACCTGGCTGAACAGTGTCATGGCATGTACTTTGATTAAGTGTGTGTTTAACAGCTTCATTGTGTAAGTACCCCCTTGCTCACCAGACCAGAAGAACTGACGGCCAGGTCCCGTAAAACTTTCTATTTAAATATGTATATGCTCTTTTTGCACTACAATTTAAAATGTGTAAAACATCAAATCGAGCCAATTATATGCCAACTGCAAACTCAAAACTAAACTCAAATCTAAACTCTATGATGAATTTGGCACATTGGAAAGCTACTTCTGTTTGTTGTACTGTTGGCTCACCATATGACTTTCTGTTAGGCTTTCTGTTTAACCCTATATCAAGGTTTGTTAGAGATGTGTTTATCTTTGCACCATAAACATTTTCGAATGGAAGTTTGTTCTATTTGACAGTCATGTCAAGTATGACTTCTTGGGTAAACAATACAACAATATCTGTTAGTACTTCCTAACAACCAACTGGCAAACCACAGAACACCAAATCAAGGAATACACAATTTAATCCAATTTCTGAATTTCTTTTGATTCCCCAAAGGCGTGCCATTCTTCTCACTGTGCCTGCCACAACAGCAGAGGGTCATGTCATGGCACATGGCAACACAACGTGTGGACAGAAAATACAAAGGCTGGTCGTGGTTGTGGCAGTTGCATGCATGCCTCTGTGTAGTTTCCTCGTCTTCAAATCATAAACTATATGAACGAGAGAGCCTATATACGCCGGGGACTCTTTTTTTCGAAGTTTTGAAAATTGGCACACAGAATGGGACAGATAATCCAGGCATTATCGTTAACATTGTTGCTAACAAGCAAACTTCTGTCTGCCTCGGAGCTTTCAAACAAAACTGTCAATTGTCAACAGCCAGTATGGTCCACAGGGGCTGACGGGCCATTTTATTTTCTATTCTATGTACAGTGAGCTAAGGGTCCATGGGTGGTAAAGTCATGCCCCACCCTACCCTGTCTCTGATTGGCTAGCACTTGTTGCCTTCATTAGGGGCCATCCTGGGAAAAAGATTATCCTGTATAGTGCAAGCACATAAATCATGAGCTTTGGTTTAAACCACAGATGATTTACTCGCAAAATCCGACAGTGTACACCCAGCTTTGGTTGTAACACCTTACTAACATTACTGTAATGTGTATGTTGATGGTCAGTAAATGCTTCCAAACTGTAGAGTAGCTGCTTGTTAAACAATGAAGCCTCACAGTCTTGTTTGTATTTGTTAAAAATAGAAGCTGTGGAGGCGTGGCTGCTTCAGAGTGGTTGGAATGGGACTTACCCAACACAGCAATTCAATAACAACAGAATACTTCAAATAACCAAACACTGTAATTATGTTGCTGTGTACACCCACATTTACAGGCTCTATCTATACCTCTAGGCTTTCTACTTTCAAGGGTTGATAGATGCTAAGAACTCATTTTTGAGTAAAAATGCAAAAACAGTTTTACTGTGTGCGATTTACTTCATCATGTAATCTCAAGCAGGTATCACTGGAGTGAACATTCAAAGTGCCATTGACATGAAAAGTATCTACTGCCATGGAGCATGTGCATACTGAGTCATTGATGCACATTCAAAATCCTGTATCAACTAAAGCAAACTGTTATGTCACTCACAAATTATCACAAACACTAACATATACATTCACAAGCACACAACTCTGTAGATCAAACAAAGGCCATTTTATTCTATCATTGCAAACAACAAAACACTATTCAAGACTCATTCAGTTGTTAATGTTCACAGTTTGATCGGAGATGCAGTTTGCAGGTTTTTACATGAGTGCTGCTTCAGACGGATGTTTACAGGATCATTCTCTCTATATTTCTAACAGGTGGTACATGTAGCATTTTGTGTTCATATAAAGTATTACTAAGTAGGGCTGCAACTAACAATGAGATTCTATATTGTTTAATCTGTTGATCATTTTTTAAATTAATTAAATGGTTTGGGCTGTAAAATGTCAATCACTATTTCCCAAAGCCCAAGGTGACGTCCTTGAATGTCTCGTTTTGTCCACAACCCAAAGATATTCAGTTTACTAAATAAAACCAGAAAACACTCACTTAGTTCTAATCAACTAGTCTGGTTTCCTTGGAATAAATTCTATTACTGTACCATAGGATTTGATCTTTATTTGGAATTTAAAGGGACATTGTGTAGTGTTTTAAGTATTTTATTGGCTAAAATCAATGTCTTCATTCATAAATGTGTCCTCATTGGTGTAAAATTACCTCTGCCAATGATCTGACTTATCCTCGTAAGCGAAGAATTTCTTATCTGTATATACATTGGACGGGCAAGTCCATGGAGGCGTCCATGTCGTTCCGCCATTTTGAAAAACTATAATCGCCGAGAGGGACATAAAGCACTAGCCTACCTGTCTAGCTAATCCACAACGTGTTTTCATTCAGAGCCAGCGTCACGTGACTGAAACCAGCTATAACGGAGAAGGAGATCAGTGAGAGGCGCTTGTCACTGCCCCGGCACATTTGAAAGTCTGCACTGCACTTTAGTTCATAATGGAGGATCATACTTATGCCGAGCCACAGGAGAAGGAATCCTCGTCGCCAAAAAGCGAAAAAAGGGAATTAAAAAGGCAACGTGACCGGCGAATTCAAAAAACGAGAGTAAACATCGGGGTAGCTTTTCCCAGGTGGAAAGAGCTAATGAAGGAGAAAGACTTTGAAAGGGACGCTGAAGTTGCCTGCTTTCTCCTCGACAGGTAGGCTTCTTGGTACATAACGGCTACCGTAGTTGCAATACGCATTTGAGAACGCGAGGCACTAGAGAGCACTATTCGTTTGAATGCAAAATACAATTTCACCACTAGATGGGAGAAATTCCTACACAATGTCCCTTTAAGGAAGAGCTAGTTTGTAGATTGAACATATGTGATTGCATTAAACTAATCTCCTTTCTATTCAAAGATAAAAGTTTCATCCCAGTTTTTTTTTTTTTTTTTTTTTTTTTTCAAATGATAAAAGACACCATATCTGTGACTTAGATCCCCTCTTTTCGAATTTGTCCTACGGGGGATCAATAAAGGAACATCTTATCTTACCTTGTCAGATTGCGAATACAGATAATGGTGTATTCGCTCATAGCTAACAAATTGTCAAAATACTGCTGTTTCCTATAACTTAACATTTCAATTGAAATTCCAAAATTGCTACATGTAACGCCTGCTAATTAACAATTAGCCACTTTATTTTTATGTAACCTTTAGAGATGTTGTGCCCCTCACATTTTACAAACTGCATCTTTTAAAAAGAAACATTTCAAAGAGAGCAATACATACTGTATATTGTCAACTTACATCAACAAATTGCCCGCATGATTTAGGCATGAAGAAAAGAATTTACAAAGGAAAAGTTGTGTAAGAATGTTGGATAGCCGCTTGGTACCGTTAAAGATCATTTTTATCCATTGTAGATTGTGTTCTATCTTATAACACGACGGTACAGGGAGGCAACAACACATACATCCACACCACATAACATAAAAAATAAACACCATAATTCTGTTTTTTATGTTTTGTTTTTTCCTGGTAAATAATTTGTTTTTACATAAAAAATGTGTATCTACATTTTTTTCTTCTCATTGCAATAGACTTCAATAGTATCTAAAATCTATCCATGTTACAGTTTTTTGCTTAAATTGTCATTTGTTCTTTAGTGTAGTATGGATGGATGACTTTATATTTTAATATCTCTAAAGACAAGGGAGAAGGTGAAGAAGGGGCGGGACCTATGAACATACTACATAGGAAATGAGGGTGATGAAGGTGACAGTGTAAGTCAGTTGCCATGTCCATGTAAAGGCAGTACGAAGCGGTCGGGCGGCATTAGAGCTTTTGGCTGTAAGGAAGGGATGGGGATATACAAACAATG